CCCCCCCCCCCCCCCCCCCTGTGTTTTGGTGTGGGATTCATTGTTTTCAAGTCTCCATCAACATAATTTCGAATGCTCTGCTGATATAAAAACACACTGCTTTTAGCCTTTTACTGTTTTGTCATGTTGGCTGCTAGCTCAGTTGCTTGCTTTACTATACTCCCGCAGGCAAGTAAGTCGGTGGCTTTTGATATTGGGCAATAAAGCAGGCTCATTTTTTGCTTTAACATTGCTTGTGGTAAAGGCACAGTACCTGACTCGACTCTTTTGAAATTAGGTTATGCGCATTTGTTTTTGCTCCTATGGTAGATGGGGGACAAGTATTTGTTTTATGCATATGTTGTCATTGTCTTTACGCCCTATCAAGATTCAATTTGAGCACAGTTCAAATAGTTAAAAGACATTATTGAACCGGACATATTTGATTTTTTTTTTTTATATAATTTTCTTAAGCATGTTTTGTTTCTAAATTTCATTACTAATTGCAAGATCCCACATCAACTTAAGAAGGAAATGAAACATTCTTGTGTGGAAACCTATCACTAGCATATGCATTTTAAAACTGTGAGGCGGACGGTGATTCGTAACAGGCCAATGAACTTGAGCGTGAGGTTGACAGTAATACGTAACAGGTCAAAGTAGACAATATTTTTTAGTAATGAACTTGGGCGGTTGCAAATGGTGTTAGAGTTAGACATAGAGAGTGCCGCCAAAGAGGTGGATTGTGAGATCCCACATCGATGGGAGAGGGGAACTGAGTTTTTTTTTTACATTCTTTACAAGGGTGTGGAAATCACTCTCTATCGAACACGTTTTAAAATTGTGGATTTGAATTCTTACACTAATTCTATCCTTTCGAGAATGTTTGGACATGTTCATCGACAAATTTGAAGGACATGGTTCACCCAACAAAATTGGAGGGGTGAAAAATGGAGGGAGTGAAGAAGAAGAAAGAGGAAAGAAAGTATATAATGAGACAGGACATGTGAAGGAAACCAATGAAAAATATAATAAATATTTTTTATAAATAATAAAAAACAGAGTCAGAGAGTATCCAAAGACGCTTTATTTAAATTCCCTCACTTCCCTCCCATCACTCCTACAACTGTCTTCACAAATTGAAAGAACCACTAAACTAAACTAAAACCAAACCCATTAACAGTTCAAAGATTGTCTTTACCACAGCTTCATAAACCACAAAATTTACAGAAGAACCAAAATATATATATATCAATATTCATGTTTTTTATAAATAAATTAAAAAAAAAAATGGGAACACTTCCTATATATCATGAATTGTGTTTGGTAAGCATGAATCAGGAATCCCCAACCTTCTCTTTTTCCAGAATCCAATTTCTGGGTTCATCTTCTCCGCCGTTCTCGACGGTTCCGATTTGCAACGTGTCAAAATTAATGGCCGGGATGAGCTTCCAAGCCCATCTTCATCCCCTGCTTTTTCTCGTTCGATAATGGCGGATTTGGTGATTCTTTCTGTGGTGGAATTCTCAATGTTCTGCACAAATTCCTCGTCTTCCTCGAATTCTAAGCCCCCACTTGGATCTTGATCCGAAACTGAGGCTCTTTGGGATGTAGGTTTCTCAATCTCGACTGCTTTTCCGCTATTGTTGGGCTTTGTGCTATGTTCCTCGTCTTCTTCTTCTTCTTCTTCTTCTTTCAGATTTTCGTCGTTTCTAAGAGGAGAGCCCCAGAATCTACTCGCTAATGATGTCGATCGATATGGGGCAGATCTGCATCTTGTTAGTAACAATGCATTTTTGGGCGGCGAAGAATTAGAAGGAATAAAAGCTTTGGCTGTTGCTTCTTCATCATCGTCGTGGACGGCGGCGGCAACTTGGGTATCTGGGTTTGAAATTTCAGCTCTGCCGTGGAAGGGAGTTTCACGCGGCGGCGGCGGCGGCGAATCTATTCTAATTTTGGGTTTTCGACGGAACCCACCTTGGAAAAACGAGACCCATCTCTGGAAAATCGGAGAAGAATTGGGTTTATTTTTCCTTAGAAACCAGGGGCAAAACAGAGCAGCACGGAACCAGCAGCAACGGCGGCGCGTGGAGGCACAGCGACGTTTGCGGCGGCGTGTGGAGGAGCGGCGAACTCGGACTTGGCCGATACAAGTGACTTTCGGGGAAGAAGGCTCTTGGGTTTCATGGGCGGTGGTGGCGTTGTTCTTCTTCCTCATGAACATCATCGGACTCGAACGCCTTCCTCTGCTTTTGCTTCCCACATTGCTCCTCAAAAACCTCATCAATGGCGGCGGGAATTTCTCCGTCCGGCCTGGACTAGATATCGGCTTCGCCGATGGCTTCATTTTCACAAACCCTCCTCCTCCTCCTCTTCAACTGTCCCAACAAATTCTTCTCCAGAGCTTTCTTTTGGCTCCTCTCACCACAGTCGGCGCCAAACAAATGGGTGGTTCCCGGCAGAGTTCTTCACAGGTAGAGTTAGAACTGAGAAGGCTTCGTTGCGCTCAGGAAATTTATGGGTTTTTCATTTTTTATTTATTTTCTTTTTGTGGGGAAATATTTGTTTTGTGTGAATATTTATATGAGTGCGTGCACGGATGGTGAATCGAGTGCAGAGATTTTTGTATATTATAAGGTTTGGAAGGTTTTGTCTGTAGGGGTTATTTGGGTAATTTCAAGTGGGTTTAATTTATTTTTTTAATATTCAAAAGTAGCCAAGCCACCTATTTAATGTTTCTTTTTAAATGAAAAAGGGTATCAATCTAGTAGCCCTTTACGGGCAAAGGTTGAAAAAAGTGTATTTTAAAAATGAATTTCCTTTTACATATTTTTAAAAATAAAAACAGTATAAATTTTATTTTTAAAAAAATCGAAAGAGTCAAAGAAAATTACCTATAATATTAGATAATTAATGGGCAAGTGAAAATAGAAAAAAAGAAAAAGAAAAAGAAAAAAAAAAGGCACTAAAAAATAATAAAGAAAAGTGAAGGGTTTGGGGTTTTGGTTGAAAAAATGGGAGAAGCTTTTCCCACTTCTTTACTCAACTTTGTAATCATTTCACCTCATCCATTCATTCATTCAGTTTTGATTCAACCCATTTCCCCCTTTTCATCATATCATTTCTCTCCTAAATCTTCCCACTTTTTCAATTTTTTCAATCTTTCAACAAATATAAATAAAATCTAACATTAAACATGTTTGCTCGCTTAGAGTGGTGGGTAATATCATTTAAGAGCGGATACAGATAGATTGTCTATCCCGTATTGCTATCTACTATTATCAAGGCTGAACTTAATAAGAGCAAGAGACTCAATGGCAACAACAAAAATGAAATATTATTTAATCGTGGAAATGTTATGTTAAGTGCACACTTAAATTTTGTTGAACAAAAAACCTCAAAAACACAAATTAACTTTCGATAAGATTATTAATTATAGTCGAAAATAGTTAATACTGTTGGGATGAAAGTCAGACTAATTAAGGGAATGATTATGGGTTTATAAATAAATAATACTCTCTCCATTGGTAGGAGGCTTTTTGGGAAAGCCTAAATCAAATCCATGAGAGTTTATCTTCAAGATAAACAATATCATATCATTGTGGAGAGCCGTGTTCATCTAACATATACTATTAACAAAAAAAAAAAAAAAAAAAAATTATTCTTAAAAATAAAATTATTCAAAAAAAATGGAGCAAAAGATTTTTAAAAAATCACACATTCCCTATAGAAGTAGAAGCTTTTATATATATATATAGATATATTTTTTGGTTTTAGGGTGGGGGTGGTTTTAATGCTCTACTAATAATTGTGATTTATTCACCTAAAACTTAGTCTTAAAATGGACGATTTAGGGCGTCCAATACGAAGCTTACGGGTGAAAGTTCAACTACGTAGGGTAAAAGTTATTTTCTTTTTAACCTTTTTTACTTTTTTATCCCCAAAAGTAACATCTCTAAGAAAAGGTATCGGGTAATATATATATATATATATATATAATGTTTTCTTCTCTTTCTTTCCTTGACTTCTAAGTTTTTTAACCTTTGTTAAGCATCTTTTACGTTTAAGAAATCAATATTATTAAAAAAAAAAAAAAAAAAAAAAAAAAAAAAAAAAAAAAAAAAAAAAAAAAAAAAAA